TAAATGTTATTATATTGTTGTCTGAGGTCAACTTATAACGTTCGCTTGGTTTTTGCATTCAAAAACATCAAAATGAACAAGTAATAGGCTATTTTGTACCCTGGTTGTGAGCCTACCTAAAAAACAGTCGGTTTTTATGGGCGTGTCGCACTGAAGACTTGGAAGTAAACACCCACTGCTGCGAGTGGAGAACAGTTTTGCATATTATAATGAGTTTAACTCACCCGTCGTGTACATGGGGGAAAACGTCCTATGTTGTCAAATGGCAACCGGATTCGCCCATACATGTTCAACCCAGAGTCTGTGTGTTGCACAATATTCCTGTCAGATCCAATATAGACGGCACAGCACCGTTCTTTACTCTTAATCGGTCTGCAAATCCAGTCTTGTTGACAAAACAATCCTCAGTGAAATGAAGCGAACAGACGACGATGTTTTACCTCATCAGCTGGAACGTCATTAAAAATAAATTTTATCCATGAAGTCCTATTGGAATCCACAGGAAGCTTATACAGCGACTGTCTTGCACAACCAGGCACTGCACAACATTCTGTATTGCTCGGTAGTGGTCCAGTTTGTCATCACGAGGTAAGCATGTACATGTATGATACTTATTTGTGTAATGCGCGAATCGGTGGGCGGGGCTAAACCTGCCGTGGTGAAGCAGGCGTTGATCATCTTCTGTGGGGGTGGTGTTTTATCCTCTTTGTCGTCATAGTTCCCCACTTTTAAAAACGAGTCGTTTTTAGAGGCTGTGTCAATAAAAGCTTTTATTGGACTAACAAGGACGTTTTCAGTTCTGAAACTTACAGGATATTCTTATAATATGATGACCTCTTAGATGTCAAAAGCTCAAGGAAAATTTGATTTCTCAGTTCATCACCCCTTTAAAATCTAAGTACTCTGAAAAAGAAAGTATAAAAATCGAGCGTCTGTAGACCTCTCACGACTGTTTTAAAGACAGCTCATTATTTCCATTCACTTCACCCCCTCCCTTCTGGGCTCCTTCCAAAGCCACGCCCCCAAAACACATGAACGCGCGACTCCAACAGCTGAGCTGAGGACGCATTATTTACCTGAGACGAGCGGAGAGGAAGGAGTGGATGTAGTGACATCATGTCAGAAACACATGTAAATAAAAAAAATCTCACTATCATTATGAAGATAAACAAATAAGTTGTATTTTATTACTCACTATCAAGCTAGCATATTGATATTGCTAAAGTTTACAATATATATTTATTGATTCGCTAACGAGCTAGTTATCTATAAGGCAAAGCTAAAAACAGGTTGCATGATGCACGTTTTTCCATTGCCATCATTTACACTGTGATGAAGATGAATTTCGTGTAAGATTCATAACATATATATGGTGTTCTGACTGCATGTAAGAGTTTGCTTGATGAAAGCATTGTTCATTCTGATGAGGACTACACTCCCGAGACAAGTAAGTTACCCATAGACAGTATAAGAAAGCAAGTACCACATCGTCAGCTCGAGGACAGATCCGTGGTCGAGGGAGAATCAGGAGTTCGTGCAAGAGGCCGTGCTATTAGGGTCCGAGGAAGTAGAGGCCGAGGACGGGGTAGTCGAAGTGCAGGGCAAGGAGCACTTTTTCGACAAGAGGACCTGCGTCGAGTTTTGCATCTTCAAGCTCAAACAAGGGCATGCGAACAGGTACGATCTGGATACGCACAAGTGGGCAGGTCCTGTGTGGCAAAAGGGTGGTTGCCATGGTTGCGAGAGAGTGACAGTCGCCTAAGCCAATCCGTTGTTTCGTCCCGGTTCGAAATAATGAGCTGTGTTTAGTGCAGATTAAACGAGTCACTCGATTTTTATACTCTTTTTTTCAGAGTACTTAGATTTTAATTATGCATTGATATATATAGAAAGTTTAAACAAATTTGGAAAAAAGTTTTTATAAAATTCTGACCAACACTACCTTTTACTTCAAGTCATCCGAGTGGCGGCCAAAGCCGAAACGAAAGACCGCTGTTCGCCAGCTGCATCTCGTTTGTTTTCAAGTATCAGGGAAATCACCTATGTAAATCACGGCGCAGAACCGTCACAACTCTGCCGTCATTGTGTTAAGCCCGCCCACCAACTCTATACACGATGTGATTGGCCGGACCAGAGTTTGGTTTTTCCACTTCGAAAGCCAACGGAGAGTTGCTAGACCACACTTTACTGCAAAATAATTTTTGCTGCCGCTAGGGTGCGTCTAGATTTCTAGGCTAACACTATGCAGCTCTGATGTTTTTGTGAAACAGCAACCCCAAGAGCCGCTGTGGTGTACTTGCACTGTCGTAAATAACCGTAACTCCCCTGTTACTGCAGTCTACTGAACTACTGATGATGGTAGTAGGCTAATAATAACTATATGTCAAGTGTTAAACTACTTTATGATAATAAAGTTGCCGATCGCATTTGCTGGCTTATAGCGTTTTTATATGATTTCTGCTAAATCACAAGTAAATAGCCTACAGTGTAGGACTAATGTATAATTTTATTTTTGTTTTTTGATTGTAATGTAAACATTACAAAATGTCAGATGACATCAACAAAGTTAAATGTACGTTACATTATTTCATAACATTGGCCATTATGATTTCATTAGACATGGTTATTACAAGCAAATTGTGCTCAATTACACTATTAAACAACCTCTAGGCTTATATATGTTCTAATAATAATGTGAGATATTGACTATGTCCTTATGATAGGGGTTGAACCGACTAGTCGATTAATCGACTAGTCGACCTTAAGGCAATGCCGTGACGCTTTAAGCTTGACGTCGACTAGTCGCGTTGATCATGTGACACTATTTGATTGCGCAAATTTTGATACTGTATGGCCGAGTTGCAGATGACAACAGATGAAGAGCCCAGAGTGCACTGTTAGTCAGCTAAAGTTTGTAAGAACAGTAACTTACGCACGCCATAAGAAATTCGAACCATACACAGGACTAACGTTACATGATAAATACACATCACAACACCTGAGTTCAGCTGGCAAACTAGCTCTTGTGCCAAGCTAGGCAATAAAACATAACGAAAAAAACAAAAATAAGAGAAACGACTGCTTGTTAGGAAGTCTGCTCACACAGCTCTGGTAATCAAAAGCTAGCTAGACATATGTGGGAATTATTGAACTGGTCTAATTATCAACAATGGATGAATGAACAGCACCGTAAAAAATGACATACTATAAGCCAGCGCAGCAACATAGTACATAGAATGCAAACAAGTTTACAAATAAGAGATTTACTTACAAGTCCATCAACAAGATCGCCAGGTCAGCATGGCTGTTGCATCCTGTGCTGCTTTAAAGCTTGCGCCAACGAGTGAAAGCCTGACTGAGTGGGACTCTTGTCCGGTTTCTAGCACGGTCCTTATTCTCTTTTCCTTGACATTTCTGAGTCTGACCAAGTTTTCTTGGATGCACGCAAGTGGCTTCATATGTTGTTGTTGTTGATGTGTGTGACATCGTTGCTATAAAGCATTTTGTGATTCTCGTGAGATTTATCAGCTCTCAAACTTGCATTAGGCCTGGGCAATAAATCGATTAAATGAATTAATTCGAATTTTTTGTTAGGGGCGATTTAAAAAATAAGTAAATCGAGTTTTTGTGTAATGTCACATTTTTGGCTCCCCGGAGTTTCCATAGCGTTCACTCACGTAGCAGTATGGTAAGCGACGACAACGCCATAGCACACACGAAACGGCAACAGCATACAGCAAGCGACAACATGGCTACTGGTGAGAGTGGGAAGTTTGTTCCTTAGCGTAGTGTGAACTAGAGTTTATTCTGCCCAAGTAGGTCGGGCCGATATTTCCGTCACTATCCGACCTTGGGTCGGGACGGGCCCTTGAGAGACGTGCACTGCCAACGCAATAGAGTGCGGCGCGGGACTAGATCTGATGGCCGTGCGCGGGGCGGGCGGTAATGCATTCACTCTGTGTGTGCGGTTTGCGGGAGAATAAAACGATTCGTGGGACTCCCGCAAACTAGAAATATCTATGAATAAAAAGAATATAATAAGTAATAGATTTGTATTCATCTGTTGCAGAAAAGCATCAAGAACAACTAAAACAAAATAGAATGATTTACAGGCCAGAGTTTCTATTTATAACATGTTTGCAGTGTTGAGCGATGTTCTTGAACGCAATGCCCAATCAGAAACATTTAAGATAGACTCCCCTCACCGCTCAAAACCTACTTTTTGTTTAGTGCTGAATTCTGTTTGCTGGCAAATCCTCGAATTATAACAATTTTCCTTAGATTTGAATGTATTGTTAATGCTTTCGTAAAAATCGTAAAAAAAATCGTAAATCGAATTAAAAAGAATAAAATCGGAGATTTTATTTTTAGGCCATATCGCCCAGCCCTAACTTGCATTGCTGTTTTTTCCGGCTGCGTCCCCCCAAGTTTTACTATCAGGATGATTCGCCCTACTATGACTTTATTTACCACCGAAATGACTTTGAAGCTGTTATATTAAGTTACAAATCTTCCATAGTCTGCCTTTAAGAAAAAGTTGGATATCAACTAGCCTGAGCAACATGACATCATGACTTTTGCGTAAACATACACGCCACTTTCAAGTCAAGTGGCGTGTTATCTCTACACATTTTGAGCTATCCGCGTGTATGTCTACGCCATTAACGTCCGAGTTATTCCGCGTGTCTGTACACGCCGTCAAATGTCCGCGCAAAACGAAGCAAAATGTAGATCTACATCTGGGGAGCAAATTTTTTTCCCTAGGATGGTAAGGGAACACTCATAAATGCCATTAACCCCAGTGACGGTTAGGTTTAGGGACGGGGGTTGAGGTAAGTCATATATTATATACAGTAATAACGTTAAGTCAACGGCGTTCATAAACACGCTGAAAAGCGATTATGCGTCTTGATAGCGCGCCAAAAATGGAAATACGAATTGGCGTGTCATACACGCTACTTCGTGAGATCAGTCTGGCCTGAGTAACATGTTTAAGTTACCTGAGGTCAGACAAGTCCTGTTTGACAGGGATGTAGTGAATCCAGGGTTTGAGCTGAGAGTAGAAGAACTCAAGCCACTCTTCCCCGACGTGAAAAACCAGTGAGCCACACAGGAACAGATGCTTCAAACGGAAACTAGCAGCAACTCCTCTGAAATTAAAGAGGTATCTGAGAAAGATCGAGAGAATAGACAATCATTAACAGAATATCTTCAATGCTGGTTCACTGACCGACATCTGATTTAGTGCTACAGCTCTTGCAAATGCAGAAATGAGGCTGATCATACTTGTATTCACAGTGTTCAACTAGGGGAATTTCCTTCGCCGGGGGTCTACCCAGAGTGTCCTAAAAAAAAACAAAAAAGAAGTTCAAAAATAACAAAGGGCAAAAATATATATTTGATTTTGCAGAAAATATTAAAGTTTTTCAAACTTAGTCTAGATTAGTGTTTGCAAAGCCTGTCTTTGTAGGCCCCTGTAAACTGCTTAAAACAAATTTTTACTCAATTATATTGACATGAAAAATCTATCTAAATTAGGGATGCACCGATCCACATTTTTCCCCTTTCGATCCGATCCCGATACCTGAATTTGCATATCGGCCGATACAAATTCTATTCCGATACCAGAGCTGTGTTTGCTTTAAAATTATTATTATCATTATTGTTAATTTTATATGATGCTGAAATAAACTTCTCTCAACTCAAAGTATGATATGTACGTTTTTATGCATGTATGTCCCAAAAGGCAACTTTAGGTAGGGATAAGGTCAGGGAAGGAAAACAGGAAAGTCAAGGAAGTCAGAAAAACAGGAAATCCTGTTAACAGGAAAAATCCCATTCTGAAAACAAATATGCAACTGTAAGGGTTTCAAATTGAATGTCATGTCAATATTTATTACATTCCCAAAATGTAAAATACTTGGGTAACACTTTATTTGAAGGGGTGTGCTTAAGACTGACATGACACCGTCATAAACATGACATAACACCTGTCATGAACATGAAGGAGTCTTTATGAATGTTTATGACTGTTGTCATTAAGTGTCATTCGGTAAATTAAAAGTTTACCGAATGACACTTAATGACAACAGTCATAAACATTCATAAAGACTCCTTCATGTTCATGACAGGTGTTATGTCATGTTTATGTCATGTCAGTCTTATGCACAAACCTTCAAATAAAGTGTTACCAATACTTGAGTCTTGAAATTTAAGAAAAGTGTGAGTGTAAACATCTTACACAGACACACACTATCTATAAAACAGTGTACATCTGAACAGCACAAATCAAGTACACTGGCTCCTGTAGCATCAACAAATCAAGGTTTTAAAATGTCAAATATTAGAAATATAAGAAAAGTGCTGTAAACAAACTGTAAACATCTTAAGGCCCTTGTACACTACAGCAGGCTCCGAAATTCGCATCTGAAATTTTTGCATGTTAAAAAATACGACCTCACATTATGTCAATCACGCTTGCACACTGCCTCTGAAACTTTCGTCCATCATAATTTTTTTTTTCATTTCTGCGTTTTTCGCATCCGTAGCAAGCAAGTTGAATGGTGTTTTGACAATTCAGAGCCACCGTATCACGAATACAAAAAAAAAAAAAACGCATACGAAATTTTTGGACTCAAGGCCCTCGCACGCTGAGTGCGAAATTTTCGTATGCATTTTTTTGTATTCGTGATTCGGTGGCTCTGAATTGTCAAAACACCATTCAAACTCTATTCAAAATGCTTGCTACGGATGCAAAAAAACAGAAAATCGAACCCGATCTGTTTTTTTTTTTTTTTTTTTTTTGACGGACGAAAGTTTCAGTGGCAGTATGCGATTGACATAACGTAAGGTCGTATTTATTTTTTAATGTGCGAAAATTTCGGAAGCGAATTTTGGACTCACACACACTCTCTCTCGATCAATAAAACGGCTCCCGTTGTCTTTCTGCCCCCTGGCTAAAAAAATCCTTGTGTTCCTTAACGTGGTGCTTTTTTAAATGTTTGATTGTGTTCATTGTGTTGACCAACGCGAGGGAGCTTCCACCTCTCTGAATTACGCCATTGCATTTTGCTGTCTTGCTGTCTTGCTCTGCAGTGTTTCCAGTGTGAAGTATTTCCACCCAGCTGACATAATGCTGCTCAATGCTTTCCAGCTAGCTGGCTGCAAACTGCGGAATGGATTTCCTGAGCGGAGACGTGTCTCATAACTCTGTGTCTCCTTGAGCCGCGCCTCCGTTCAGGAAATCCATTCCACAATTTGCAGCCAGCTAGCAGACTAGCCAGCGGGAATCACTTTTGGAGTCATTTAAGCAAATAACGTTAAAGCGCAGACATGCCTCATGGATATCGGATATCTCCGCAGGTTGGATCGGAAAAATCCGATACCAATACTGGATCAGATCTGCCCCATCCCTAATCTAAATGCATTTGATTGATCTTATTGTGAACAATTTATCCATGCATATGTTTTAATTTTTACACATGTTTTGGCCTCATAATGTTTAATCATTTGTCATAACATCTGTCTAGTGACGTATGCAGGACTTTTCTAATAATTTTGTTCTCCTAAACCAGTCCCAGCAAATTCACGTTCATCTACTTTGGAGTAAAAATACACACATCTCAAAATCCAACCAACAACCGATAAATAGAAGTCTCCGCTCTGCTTTTTTTTTCTTTTCCGACAATCCTTAACACTCGGATGTATGTCCCAAGATCTCTTGCTACTAGGCTTGGGCGGTATTACGGTAATATCGTATACCGCGGGATCTAAAAATAGCAACGGTATCAGTTTCAATATCGTCATACCGTCAGAAAAAAAAACAACGCACTTAAATAGGAGACAAGGATATAAATGCAATGTTTTAAATACAATTCATTTAATGGCTAAAATGCTTATATCTGGTTCTCATGACGTGACAGTGTGGTGACGAGAGAGTGGGGGAGAGAGGGCAAAGATTGCAAGTTGCACTGAGTGACTTGGTCTCGAAGAAGAACACGACTTCTGCAGTTTGGCAGGGATGGGCATTTCAAGCAAAAATAATATTTAAAGATTGCCTGGTATTATTCGATTATTATTTGAAAATTGTGCCCCACTACCACATGTACGCACACATGCATGTAGTCTACAGCGGGCCAGACCGTGTGACGCTTAAATATAAGCTAGGTTTAAAAAAAAAAAAAAAAAAAAAAAAAAAAAAAACGTATTCCTTTCATATTTCTTTAATAATATGATGTTTTTCTATGTATGTTGATTTTATGAAAAGGGAACTTCATGAGATGAATAAGATAAGATCATAAAATGCGCAATATCGGAAAACATTTGGAATGGGTCAGTCAGACATGATTATGACCACTTATTACGTTTAGTTTTGTAGAAATCCTTTCTTTAAAACGAATTTCGTTTTGAATAAATTGCATCTTCATTTTAATGTTTTTTCATCAACGAATTGCCTGGATTAATTAATAAAAAGCAAATATAGTGATCAGGACACGCGCCGGCGCGACTCATACATGAACTGAGCCTCGAATATAAGAAACAAGATCTGAGAAGTGTATATAGTAGGCCTACGCTTGAAATGTCTACTTTTAAACAAAACAAACAATCTAAAAGAAATGGGCTGCTCTCTGCTTATGTTTAGGCTAATTCATATGAAGTGTGTATTACTCTTTATTCGCGTTCACTACCGCGAAGATGCTAGTTTGCGTCGTCAATGCAATCTTTATCTTTGCAGCAACTGACATAGAAAACATGTTGGGTCAGTCAGACATGATTATGACCACTTATTACGTTTTGTTTTGTACAAAGCCTTTTTTTAAAACGAATTTCGTTTTGAATAAATTGCAACTTCATTTATTTATTTTTTTCATCAACGAATTGCCTGGATTAATAAATAAAAAGCAAAGATTAATCAGGACACGCGCCGACGCGTGACTGGAGCGCGATTCATACATGAACTGAAACTCGGCATATAAGATACATGTCTTAATGATCTGAGAAGTGTATACAGTGCCCTCCACAATTATTGGCACCCCTGTTTAAGATGTGGTCGAGGACTTTTAAAAATTCTCCCTTTTTTTTAAACAACATAGAATCCAAATGCAAAAAAAGAGAAAAATCCAACCTTTTATTTAAGTACATTACTTTGGTGGTAAAAAAAAATTTAAAATTTAAAAAAATAAAAACTTCAAATCATGTGTCCCACAATTATTGGCACCCCTGATGTTAATACTTTGTACAACCCCCTTTTGCCAACAAGACAGCACTTAATCTCCTCCTATAACATTTCACAAGATTGAAGAACACAGAGAGAGGGATCTTTGACCATTCTTCTTTGCAAAATCTTTCTAGATCATCCAGTATCCTGGGCCCTTTCTTGTGCACTCTCCTCTTTAGCTCACCCCACAGGTTTTCGATTGGATTGAGGTCTGGGGACTGAGATGGCCATGGGAGGACCTTGAGTTTGTGACTGAACCATTTTTGTGTAGATTTTGCCACACGTTTTGGATCATTATCCTGCTGAAAGACCCAATGACGACCCATCTTCAGCTTTCTGGCAGAGGCCATCAGGTTTTTATTTAAAATGTCCTGGTAGTTCAAAGCGTTCATAATGCCATGCACCCTAACAAGGTTCCCAGGGCCTTTGGAAGAGAAACAGGCCCACAGCATCACAGATCCTCCACCATACTTCATGGTGGGCATGAGGTACTTTTCGGCATACACATCTTTTGTTTTACACCAGATCCACTTAGAGTGTTTGTTGCCAAAAAGCTCAATCTTAGTCTCATCCGACCAAAGCACACGATCCCAGATGAAGTCCCAGTGCCGCTTGGCAAACTCCAGACGTTTACGTTTGTCAGTGTTAGTGAGAAAAGGCTTTTTCCTAGCATGCCTCCCAAACATCTTGTTGGCATGTAGAGAGCGTCTGATGGTTGTTTTGGAGATTTTGTGACCCCAAGATGCCACTATTTGATGCAATTCTGTGACAGTGAGCTTAGGACTTTTTTTTACTTTTCTTAGCATCCTCCTCACAGTGCGTTGTGGCAAGATAAACTTGGGACCTCTTTCAGCCTTGTTTGTCACTGTTCCTGTTGTTTTAAACTTCTTAATGATTCCTCTAACTTTAGATATGGGCAATATAAGGTGAGTGGCTATTTTCTTGTAGCCATTGCCTGACTTATAAAGGTCATCACACATCTGCCTTACTTCAATGGTGTGTTCTCTTGTCTTTGCCATGTTGACAAATGGGTAAGAGAATTAGGCCTCTGTGTCATGTCATATTTATACCCCAGGGAAATAGGAAGTCATGAATTACTAATTAAAAGTTCCTAGATATCCTGACCAACATTAGCAACTACAGAAAATATATATTTTTTTTAAAATCAATTACATTTTTCAGCGGAATTGTTAGGGGTGCCTGGGACACAGGATTTGAAGTTTTTATTTTTCTAAATTTTTACTTTTTTTTTTACCACCAAAGTAATGTACTTAAATAAAAGGTTGGATTTTTCTCTTTTTTTGCATTTGGGTTCTATGTTGTTTAAAAAAAAGGGAGAATTTTTAAAAGTCCTCAACCACATCTTAAACAGGGGTGCCAATAATTGTGGAGGCCACTGTATATATAGTAAGCTTGAAATGTCTATACTTTTAAACAAAACAATTACAAGCTAAAAGAAATGGGCTGCTCTCTGCTATAGGCTTATTCATATGAAGTGTGCATTAGGCTACTCTTTATTCGTGCTCACTACCGTGAAGATGCCAGTTTGCATCGTCAATGCAATCTTTATCTTTGCAGCAACTGACATAGAAAAACACTAGTTTATTAATAAATAATTTTATCTCGGCTGAGTCGGCTCCACTCGGCTCGCGGCGCCGAGTGGACAGAGCTCGTGGCGCGTGATCTCCATAAATGCGCTCCCCTCTCTTGAGGAAATATCACCACTCTGCTCACATTCTCTGGTGTGAGACAATGTGCATCTTCTGTTTTCTAATAGTTAATTGACAGTTTTTAGATGCATTATTGGAACCGACACTCTCTGGTTGAACGTGTCATCATGTGTGATGCCATCTGAGCCTTATCTCTTAATTTTTAATTAGTCACGCGGTAATACCGTATACCGCGGTAAATAGGGAGGAGGTTTGACGGTGTGAAAATTTGGATACCGCCCATGCCTACTTGCTACTTAACATTTCATCACGAATTTAACTTAATTCTACATAATCTAGATTATTTTTTACATGCCTTGTATATTAAAAGAGTAAACAAACCTTCTCTGACTTCCAGGCCTGGTTCTTGGTGTACCCTGCATCAACAAGGTCAGGGGCTTCCCTTGAGAGAAGGATCAGAGGGTCCCTCTCTGAACTGGTCCTTCAAACATTGGAAAAACTGATCAGCTTTACTGAAAACAACTCTGCATTGAACTGTATTCTGGAGACACAACAAACCTGGAGCCTCTAAAGAATCCTTTTGGGCTTTTCTTCTTCCAGGGCCATCGTGCAGCTGATCTGAAGAGTGTAAACTAAAAATTAGAAAACATCTAATGGCCTTAAAATGAATAGAATGTTAGAGTTAATCCTCTGTATACTCTCAAGCATTCTTAAATCTGGATTTGTATAATATACTGAGATGTTGGGATAAGATCAGGCTTTAAAAAGAAATGAGAATTTAAATATTTTAATTTGTTACTTTTTCAGGTCATCCCTCATGAGGTCCCATCGGCCTAGTCCAGTGGGGTAGATGGGCCATACAGCAGGACCTCCCTCCCAGAATGTCCATGCAGGGTACATGATGTCCTGGTAGTCTGGTGTCTAAACAGTAAACAAAAGTATAACTATACCAATACACGCGAGTAGGGTTGTGCGGCATACAGGTACTGGAAAAACATTGGTATATATTATATTTCAAGTGGTTCAATATCATGATTTTGGTCATTTTGTTACTTGAAATGCTGTTGTTTCGAATTTCACAGCTTTGCGACAGTGTGTTACCCACACTGATGCAAAACCGTCAATTGTGACAAATGTGTGATCTGCCAGAGTGTTTCCTGAGAACTCTTCAAGGCTTCTCGGCTCAAACTCAGTGGGTGTGTACATTACAGACTGGGAGAGCCCCTGTCTGTGGTTAAACACTCTCTGAATGAACCATAGATCATTTAGCAAATGAACTATTAATTTTAGAGGGGAGAGAGCCGCATTCAAAAATTAATTTAATGTACAAAGAGTTTGTCCATTTGAAGGGACTGAAGTGGAACACCGTGCCCATAAAGCAACCTCAGAAAAGAGCAGCCCGCCTCTATTTTGTGTGCACTTGTACATTGGCAGGCAAATTCTCGTCTGCAAGTTTTCATAGGGCTTCAGTATTCACACAGAAAAGGTGTGATTTCCCCATAGTGTCAGCTATAGGGGGTGTGCGATATCATGATTTTTGATAGTGGACGACTAAAACGTCTCCACAATCTGCTTTTGAAGAAATATTGTAGTATCGTATTACAGTGCATTCTATCAGTTGCAGTTCTGGCGCCTCTATCTCAACATACTGTATAATGTGACGCACATACACAGAGTCCTGCACGGACGGGTGACCCACAAATTTTGCTGAAACAGGTGAAAAACATCCAACTGTGTCGGATACGGGTGGGGTCGGGTCGGACAAGGGGGAAACACGGTCTAAACACGGGTTTAAAACGACATTATTTTCGATTTGATCAAGAACATAAACTAATGCCAACACTGTTTGAGTATAACATTAGTAGCCAGTCAGTTGCTATTGTTGCCAGTCAGATGCGATTGTGTAAAACAAACGTGTATAAAGTTAAAAAATGTAGCAAATTATCATTCAGAAACGTTTAGTAAGAGCCGCGTGTGGTGAGATTCTGCTTGACTCTTTTCATCGCCGCTTTTCTCGTTCTGAGGTTATGCCTCAAACTAGAGAATGTCTCTGCTCAAACTGATACTGCAGCGCATGCACGTTTCGCCCGTAAAGGTAATGGGCGTTAACCTTCCGGACAACGTGAGTGACAGTTTAGCCAATCACAACACACCGGCCCAAACTAACCAATCTGAGCCCACTGCCTGTTTCTGAGGGAGTGGTTTCATAGAATCAGGAAGTCAACCAGTCGTTCGAGGACAGAGGAGAGCGCGGCTTACAATAAAGGTGAAGTTTATGAAAAATAAGACTTTTTAAAAAAGAAAAATACATGTTATACATGTTACATGTTATAACACAAATACATGTTATATTGCGGCTCATAAACACAATCATGCAAAGAAAAAATCAGTCAACCCCCCCTTTAAGCACTGCGGGTACGGCTTTACAAAAATCGGACACTGCAATTAACAAAAGTTCATTATTTGCATGTGCTTTAAAGCCTTGCCGGTTAAACATTTAATTTGCATGCTTATGCGCTGTTCTAACATGCGCTTTTCTGAGTGCATACACCCGAATCTCACAGGAAATAACAGCCTGTCAAACAGCGCCTGGTCACTTGACTAAGTTATCTTTAGAGTCTCATTGTGCTAATAATGTCAAATACACACAAGGTTTACATAAACAGAGTTGGTTATGTCTAATGCGAAAGCAAACATTTGAGAGAAAATCTGGTGCGCGTGTTATATGTGTGTATATTATATGTGTTGCTTGCCAGTTTTAAAGCAACAGTAGCCTATTAGTAAACATACTGACGCTTATCCTTAAAGAGATACTCCACTTTTTTTGGAAATAGGCTCATTTTACAACTCCTCCAGAGTTAAACAGTTGAGTTTTAGCGTTTTCGAATCCATCCAGACGATTTTCGACAGCTTCCTCCCCTAATAGGGAGTCGTTTAACCAAGGCCTGTACATTCGGGGGTGTTAAGAGTAATGTAGGTTGGTAGTAGAGGCATGATTGTTAAAGATCTAGGTTTAGGCCTTCAGTAAGGCAGTACAATGGGTCTTTTCGAGCACGGTTAGGCTGTCTTTCACTCTGTGAAGAGATCGTTTTGTTTGCCAGACCATGCTGTACAGAGCTAGAATATGGATTTGGGCCTCCAGATTAGGCTCCACTCAGCTCGCTGAGCAACAGCTCAAGCAATGGGATTGGCTTGCAAGCCAGCCCCACTCCCCTAGGCTGGGCACAGGAAATTCCCTGTCACCTCTAGAGCCACTGGCAGGCACGCACCCTGTTAAAATTCTCAGGGGCAGATGGTTATTACTCCCCCATTGATACAGGGTAGTTCCGAGTACTCCATTCTCAGCTCTGTATCAATCTACCTCACACCAAGTTGGCTCGGGTTGAGCAGAGAGTTCAAACTTAATTTTATTTTTGTTTTTTGAATTACGCTCCCTTCAAGACAGAGCACTGCCATGAGCTGATGCCCATGCATATAAATGATAGGCCCTTCAATCTGGGGCCACCACTGAGGAATAGTGGCGTAGTTATTATTCCCTTGCTTAAAGGGTGTTACGCTCTTGCTGAGTACACTGCCATGGGAAATTTGTTCAGGCACCAGGATGCTGTAGGTGTTGTGCCAGACTTAAAGGATTAGTTCACTTTTGAAAAAACTTTTGCTGATAATTTACTCACCCCCATGTCATCCAAGATGTCCATGTCTTTCTTTCCTCAGTCGAAAAGAAATTAAGGTTTTTGATGAAAACATTCCAGGATTTTTCTCCATATAATGGACATACATGGGAACCAGACGGTACAAGGTCGAAAAGACAGTTAATAACAGTTTCAGATGCAGCTTCAAATGTCTTTAAACGACACCAGACGATGAATAAGGGTCTTATCATGCGAAACGATCGGTTATTTCAAAACTTATTCCAAAAATGTAACTTTTCTAAGGACAAATGCTAGCGTTGCTCTATTCTGTGAGGCGCGTTTGTAACGTCACGTAATACGTAATTCCGTTCAAAAGGTCACGGGCTACGTAGCCGTAAGTACAGAGTCAGTGTTTACAAGTTGAACGCATAGGTTGAACGAGCAAACTAACTCAAACGGCGTTTACAAAAAAGGAATTAAAAGGTAAAGCAACGATGTCGGACGATTTTGATTCTGTACTTCCTGCTACGTCGCCCGTGACCTTTTGAACGTAATTACGTATTACGTGACGTTACAAACGCGCCTCACAGAATAGAGCAAGGCTAGCATTTGTCCTTAGAAAAGTTACATTTTTGGAATAAGTTTTGAAATAACCGATCGTTTGGCATAATAAGACTCTTATTCATCGTCTGGTGTCGTTTAAAGACATTTGAAGCTGCATTTGAAACTGTTATTAACTGTCTTTTGGACCTTGGACCGTCTGGTTCCCATGTAAGTCCATTAAATGGAGAAAAATCCTGGAATGTTTTCATCAAAAACCTTAATTTCTTTTCGACAGAGGAAAGAAAGACATGGACATCTTGGATGACATGGGGGTGAGTAAATTATCAGCAAAAGTTTTTTCAAAAGTGAACTAATCCTTTAACAGGCTGCCCCGAGACCGAACCCCAGGATTGGACAGCTAGCCTTAGCAGGCCGCTTTAGGGACTGATGCACACAGGTAGGTAGTAGGCCGCACCAGTCCTCCCGATAGGCTAGTTCCAAGTATGGGCAACTGGGCCTCACAAGGCCTAATTTTTCATATTAACAGGTTAATAGATGTTTTCTACAGGAATATATAATGAGTTTGTAAATTTTAGAGAAATTCTAAATTAATGCATTACAATTTAAGTCGATAATATTTTAGTCGACTAAATCTACTGTAGAGAGTAATGTCAACTGAATTCTTATTGTATTGCACTGACTAAAACAATTCAGATTACTAAAATATGACTAAAACTAAATCAAAATATTATGTATGCGGAATATATGTATGTGGAATAATGTTATGTTTCTCTGCCTTATTTGGGGAAGATGGCTTACAGTAGCCTTAAGGTATCTCATTTTCTAAATACAATTAAATAAACACTTGCTGGTTCTTCGAGATCTTGACTGTAGCCTATTTATTTCTAGTTTTTTTTTTTCTTCAATACAGTTAATTTATAGTTAGTTTCATTTCTAAAAATGGTGCAAACTCTGCTAGATTATAGATAAAAGATTCCCATTCCCCTGCCATTCTGTGATCGGCAGATCATGATTTTGGTGATAGGTAATGATGCCCAGAGGGCAAGGCAGTAGGGCTGAACGATTTTGGAAAATAATCTAATTGCGATTTTTTTAACCAATATTGCGATTGCGATTTAATATGCGATTTAAAAAAAAGTTATTTACCTTCTGTATTAGTCGACAAAGACAAGCAATAAATCATTGTACAGTAGGGATGGGAATCTTTAGATAGCTCATGATCTGATCTACTTTTTTTCTTATTAATTTATCTTAATAACTCTTAAAATATGTATTTAATTACATGTGTAAAAACACATACTTTAAAAAATAAATATAAAAAACATTTAATTAAACCAATTACATCTTAAGAATTTTAAATAGGCTATATAAAATAATATAGCTTCAAAATATAAAAGCTAGTAAATAAAGAGAAACAAAAAAAAAACATTACAAGCAATAAACAAAGAGTGGTCTCAGTATTTAAAAGTAGGCTGTCTGAATGTTTTTCATTCAAGAGCTGGAGTGATTTCCCCTCAGTTTAGATACGATAAGCTGCATTCACACTAATGCATATATCTCTTTTGAAATTGTAAATGTGGTTTGTCCTGTTGGTTTAAGATATAACTGACCGTGTTTACATTAATTTCGCGTCATAAAAGCATTTTGACATGCAAGTACATTTACCAATGAGTCACTCACAGCTGCATGCACGAGCGCTCTTCACAAAGCACGCGTTAGTATTTT